CGTACGTTGCTCTGTAATTAACATACCGAACCTCCCTATCATGTTGCCTCGTAAGCTGCCTCCTCGATCGTGTTCACGAAACGCTCCGAACTTAGTTCATACGCCATTATTTTCGTAATGTATCTTCTCCCTTTTCGATGGTTTCGAACCTCCTCGTTCCGTTCGTGAACAAAATCTTCAGGGTTCGAAGAGATTTTGCTCTTGCATTTTTTTTTAATCATGGACGTTGCGAAGAGTGTCTGATTTTCTTTTTAGTCTGATTTGTACACCACTTATACATCGTTAAGATTAATGAAGATTTATCTTCAGATTTGATCTCACAGTTTAGAGAGATTTAATACACGTTAACTTAGCTTCGATTCTATGAGGTTATGAAGAATTTATTAATTTTGTACGTATATTTAGAAATCAAAGTTTCTTTATAGAAAAATTAAAATTTGTCAAATTAGTATAGACTAAAATTTTGACATTTTAATTTAATTATCTGATAATATATGTACTTTATTACGCTTTTACTTTCATTATTAATTCAAACGTATAATAATTGATCATATTCAATATGTTTAGAATTGGAATAGTTGAAACTTCGCATTCATTTATATATTTACAATTTACTACTTACTAATATAAAATCAGGAACTTGATTTTTACAATTAAGAACATAATCATCCTGCATATGCACTCGATAAGAACTTAAAATCCGATAATCCGATATTCAAACGTAGAACCAAAAGCTAATCATTGGAACGTGCACCTTGCGGAGTCGAACGTATTAGTCGCCAAGTGTCTGCACGCTCGTCTTGTAATTCAAACGTCAATTCATCTTGTTACGCTCGTTGGCTTTCGAAGAAACGTCAGCGACATTCGAAGAGTGTAATTATCGTAGATATAACCAGAGGAAGAAAGAAATAAAGAAAAAGAAAGATAGGAGGTAGAAAAAAATAGAGAAAAATAGGGAAGTGTGTGTGTGTGTGTGTGTGTGTGAGAGAGAGAGAGAGAGAGAGAGAGAGAGAGAGAGGAAGAGAGAGNGAGAGAGAGAGAGAGAGAGAGAGAGAGAGAGAGGAAGAGAGAGACGTATCCCGTAATAGACATTCCGAAGAGACCCGCTGCGTTGTTTTATCGACTGGCTCGGTCGTTTTCGCGATCGCGATGGTAGCATTTCCGGTTTATCTTTTCTCTCTTTCTTTTTCTTCCGAGACGGCGACGACGATGACGACGACGATGATGATGGTGTTGAAGCAACACTTACAAAAGCCACCGGGAATTACCTTCGAGGTAGTTCTTCCCAAACGTTTACATGTTTTCCATCAGTTTAATACTCATTTCAACATGATCAAACCATCAAAACCATTTGTACCAAAATACGTTCTTAACTAACTTAGAATAATACAGCGTTGGAAATAGTAAACCAGTTTTTAGCGAGTCTTCGCGACTTCATTAAACAAGTAGATGAATGTAAAATGAGGATAATGCAGTTAAATACTTCTCAGTAGGGAACTTGTAATACATGAAAACCGAATGAAATGACATTGTAAATTTAAGAGGTCTTTGGGTAGTTATTAGACTAGTTCGTAGGTATTAACAGGCTTTTTGTTTAGCATAATCGTTTACTTGATCATGATATATAATAATTTCTCTTGATTATACCAGTATTCAAAGGTTATTTTATTGGAATGTTTAATATGTCGTTTAACGGCGCACCGAAAAGGAACATGTTTGAAGAATTGCATCAATTATTTTTGATGTTCTTTTTCTACGCGAGCTTGTTCAAGGTTATTCAAAGAAAAGGTAGGGGAAAGGAAAAGCAGTAAGGGAAAAGAATGTGGTTCAACGGTGACGCTGCCTTGGCTTTTGTAGGGCTTCGATAAAAACTTGGAGACCTTTTGAACATCTCAAGATGGCCATCGACGCGTTCCATCGACTCTTCCATGGACTCTTAACCTTTTTATTTTCATCATAGACTAAACTTTTATATCCTATCTCTGACAACAACCTCATGTTCAAGTTAAAGTTAACCAACCCGATGAAGTGTTTCGGATTCAATCTCGTTGTTAGAACGAATTCCATTTGAAGAGGAGGTATAATAGTTAACTAGATTTAACGACTACTTAAAATGGCTCTGGCAAGAAACGTATAAACATTTACATTGGGAGAACGGCGCGTAGTAAATCATAGGCTTTCTAACAAAGCCAAGAGATGAGAGAGAAGGATGCTGCTGCTGATGATGATGATGATGATGGGGAGGGAAGTGTGTTCTTGGGCTTCGTAGTTTCTGTGTTGCACGCTAGAGTGTCTGGTTCGGTAAGTCACTATATCTCTTGGAAGAAACAACCTTCTTCGAACCGATTCAATCGGCTAAGCATAATTTTCTGATTGCTTATCGATCATTCTACTGATAGGCGTCAGATTTTCTGTTATGACTCTAAAAAATTGTTAAAAATACGAAGAGAAAGAGATCTTAGGAAAAAATATCGAATTCAAATCGTATATACATACAATTAAAAGCGAATGTCTATAGAATGAATCAATCTTTTTTTACATTATTATATATGCCTATTCTCTAAATCAAGGTCACTAAAACATTAATATGTGGGAAGTATTACATTGACACATCTGGAAACTAAAAGTAAGAAAAATAATTTCCGTGTATGCACAATGACTCGTCTTAATCTATGAATGTAATTATCTCTTTGAAGTTTTGTTATTTGGTAAATGTTTCAAACAGAATCTGTTCTGTTTCGAAGGGGAAAGTAATTTAATGTAATTCATCTTTTTGTAAATGGGCGTGCGCAAAAGATATATGAAAATACATTTTTTTTTGTAAATAGAATCGTAATTTTAAACCGATTCATATTTCGGTACTCTCTATAAAAGTAATTATGTATTTATAACGAAAAACTATTTTAATATCATTATTGTTAAGAAGCGTTAAAAAATTGAGAAAGGTTTTATATAAATGTTAGTTTTTTTACCTAATATTTTTCAA